GATCAAAGCAGCAATGGAGTCTTTGGGTCCAATGTGGCAACCACCCTTTGTCCAACATAGGTATTGTCTCCGACACGTTGCTGCGAACTATCATGGAAGGTACAAGAAGAATGATGAGCGTCAATTAATTGTGCGCATGGGTAAGTGAAAGCAAGTTAGTAAGTTATAAATTTTTTGATCATTTTAATTTTGCAAAGAAAGCAAGTTTGTAAGTTATACATTTTTTGATCAGGTTACGAACTACTTCCTCGAACGTTTGAATCAATTCTTCAAGATTTACGGGCGAAGAACGAGGAAGGATACGATTACATCAGCCTCATCGATAAAGAAATGTGGATGAACGCATATGATGGTGGATATCGATATGGACACATGACGACCAACTTGGTTGAGGCAATCAATTCAACCTTAAAGGGTGCACGTCACTTACCTGTAGCGACTTTGGTAAAAACTACATATTTTTGTTTGGGGGCGCTTTTTGCGAAGCTCGGAGGACAAGCTCAAACCTGGATGCAAGGCTGTCATGTCTATCACCCTAGATTAGTTGCAGATCTACAGAAAAAAATTGTTGCATCAAATGGAATGTCTGTAACAAGCTCCTCTAAAAGGCATGAAATATTTCGTGTCACAGAGTTGTCGCGACCTCTTCAAGGGATTGAAGTTGTGTCGTTAAGAGTAAATCTAAGGGACAGAACATGCGACTGCGGGTTTTTTCAAGTTCTGAAGTATCCATGCTCTCATGTGATAACAGCTTGCTTGCATACACGTCAAGACTATAACCATTTTTAGATCTTGTATACCTACTATCTGAAGTTTTTAAGGTATACGAATTTGAGTTTCCCCCATAGGTAATGACAAAGACCCTGATGAGGTTCAAGATTGGCTTCCGATTATACCAAATCTGAGTTTATTGAGGGAGCGTGGTCGTCCAAAATCCAATCGAATTCATTGCGATATGGATATTCGAGAAAGATCTAGACAAGACAGAAGATGTGGCCATTGTAGAAACCCAGGACACACTAGAAAAACATGTCCACTTCTGTTGTCATCAAGTAACAATTGATGAGGAAATGATGTATTTTTTATCAAATAATAATTTTTGTATTTTAATTTGCATTTACTTCAAGTTAATGTCATTCGATAATCATTGATGAAGATTAAAAAAATGAACACAATCATTAAATTTTATCAAACTAATAATAATTTGGTATTTAAATACAACAAACTTACAATAAGAATTCAATGGTAAATGATAACCAAATTACAATAACTGATATTAAATGGTAATAAATAAAATTAACTGAAATATATTAAAAAAAGTCCAACAAATTTAACAAAATAAAGTAAGTATTAAATGAGAAATAATAAAAAATTACAATTAAACAAAATAAAGTAAATACAAATATAATAAAAAAAATCTATCGATGTCTGCGTCGCGAATGTGTTCCGCAGGGCGGTGGCTGTCGGTCTCGAGGAGGATTTCTTCGTATCACTGGTTCTGACTCCTCGCTTTCATCATCGTCGTCGTCGTCACCACTGTCATCGTCGTCATCATCGTCCTGAGCAGGTACATTAGGTTGACGAGGAGCTGATGACGATGAAGCACCTCCATAGAATAAGGACCCTGGAGGTATATGACTGACTATCCCACTGGCCTGCGAAAATTGGGAAAACCCAGACATCGCTGAGTGTGAAAACTGTACATGAGGTGTCTATGCTACGGCCATGGGTGATGAGGCTGAATCTGCCAAATATCCAGTATATGAACCCCAAGTCAGATCTACATACATAGACCCATAATAGCCTCCAGGAGGGGTCATCTATGACGGTGGCGGTGGCGTGGTCATAAAACAAGGCGATGGCGGCATCTGGTAATGAAAAGGCGATGGCGGCATCATATATGGCTGTGGTGGCTGCTGGGAAGGTCCTGCTGGTGCAGCTGAGGATGAACCGGAAGCACTTGCTCTCCGTCCACGAGTCGAGGGACGATGGTGCTGTGTCGGTGAACATCTCTGTCGACGTCGTGGAAAAGTCTGCCCTCGTGCATCCTCGGGAAGTATAAACGGTTTCCTGTTACTATTGAACCACTCATAATAATCCTCAGCATACATCAAGAGGTCATAAAAAATGGACTCTCTACGGGGAAGGCGCCGATGTCGATCCTCCCACAACACGACCCACCCATGATGCCTCACCAACCAATCTGTATATGTCTTGCCGCGTCTATCTAAGCTATGCAACTCATCCATATTGTGAGGTACTTCCAGAATTGGTTGAAAACAACCAAACTGCCGAAGCACGCGATCAGTGGAGTGCCACTCGACGGTCGCATAACAGATCAGAGGGACTATCTCCATCCAAACATCTGATGGACCCCTCAACTCAGGTGGGATCACCGCACTCACATCATCAGTAGAATATGACACCCATTCAAACTAAAACAAATAATATATAATTTTTATCAAAATAATAATCTAATTATATAACTATAATCTAAAATCGATTTTTAAACATTAAAATTCATACATGTGTGCCATCCTTCTGATCGATTAGCACCCTAATTTTTTCTAAATCATCAGGTAGCTCCTGATGATTTTTCCTATCAGTAGACCACCTATTCAAGGAAAAAAATTTGTTATACGCTGTATAAAATTATTAATATACAAAATCAGTTTTATAATTACCTCAGAAGTAGTGGAAATACGAATGGGTTCTTCACAACGGGACATAAAAAGGGCAATCGATAACATGCCCAAGACTGCAGCAGGAGGAGACATCCGCCGATAGCATTACACCTGTAGTCAGTGGCTCCATACATCTCCCTGTACAACAAAGCCAAAACTCCCGAGCCCCAACTGAATGATCCGGCGAGACGAAAGTCGCTAAGATGTCGCAACCACATACAGTGAACTAGGTTGCGCGATTTGTCCAGCATCAGCAACCCTCCTATCAGCTGCAGTATGCATGCTCGTTCATACATCTTAACCTCATCCTCAAAGGCGTCTGCGCTCAACTCCCGAAAATTGACATCTAACCAATTTAACGGTATCCTACCTCCGATAAAATTTTCCGGGACACGTCCTAGACTATCCCGACACAAAGTAGTCCAAGAATCGGAAGGTATCCCCGATATCACATCTCCATCCACCGAAAGCCCCAGGTGCATAGAAACATCCTCAAGCGTGATCGTGCACTCTCCGCACGGAAGATGGAATGTGTGGGTCTCCGGCCTCCACCGCTCTACTAAGGCAGAAATCATGTATGGCTCTATCTTACAGTAACCTTGATATCTACCTATGTAACTGAATCTAGCCACTACTAAATACGGCAAGACACGGCTGGGTATCACTAACTTAAGATTCCTAATAAAATGATCTAATACACGGTCCTTCTCCTAAAAATAAATAATTACAAAAATTAATTCTTAATCTAATAATCATGCATTAAATAAATCAACTAATTATTACTAATAATTTAAATTAAATTAAAACGTTAAAATGTTACCGTATTAGCAAAGTGTCGAGATATTTAATTCTCAATCTAATAATCATGCATTAAATAAATCAACTAATTATTATTAATAATTTAAATTAAATTAAAACGTTAAAATGTTACTGTATCAGCAAAGTGTCGAGATATTTAATTCTTAATCTAATAATCATGCATTAAATAAATCAACTAAATATTACTAATAATTTAAATTAAATTAAAACGTTAAAATGTTACCGTATCAGCAAAGTGTAGAGATATATGATTTTCATCCGAACGAAGTAGACTGTCTTCCATTATATATTTGCAAAAGAATTATATTAGTAAAATATTAAATAAAGTAAAATACTTAAATAAATTAAATACATAATAGTAAAAATATTATAAAATATACCTTAAAAAGAGAGAGTATTTGAGAGAAATTTAGAGAATTTGAGAGAATTTTGTGTGATAAAAATGATTGAGGATGGTGGTATTTATAAGGAGGATTTGGATGTGGAGGGGAAGGCATTTAGGGGTTTAGCGCATCCCTTGCACTGCGCTATACCCCACGTGTCAGATACCCAGGTCTAGCGCAGATCAGGGGACGCGCTATACCCACGTGACGTCAAATCACTGTATATCGCGGGACAAGGGGCGCGCTATACCCACATGGCGCCAAATAAGCGTATAGTGTGGTTCAGGGGCACACTTTACTGCTACGGGTGTTTAATCGGAAAATATAATCTGACCGGTGTTAGATCGGTAAATATACCGATCACCGATGATTTATTGGGAAAACGTCCAAGACACCGACGAATTTAACTCATTATCTTCTATCATTTTATTAGTTTAAAATTTTTAAAATTACTTTTAAAATTCGAGAAATTCAACCAAATATTTAAAACCACTTTAATTTATAATATCTATCTCCCGTCAATATGGAATCACGACCCCGATTCGACTAGGCAGGAGCATATGAAATGGTGATGGGTCTCTTGACACTCTCCCCTACCATTTGCATCAAAACTGAAATATGATTTCAGCAGCGTGAAAGCAATGAGTGATGGTCAGAGATAGATCGAGAAGTGCTTGGGGATACGGTCGTATTCCTTAGAATTTTTAAATTCCCTTATATTTTAGATTTTATTTTTGTATTTTGTATTGATTATCTAATTTCGCACTCCTTAAAATTTTATAACTTCGTACACTTAAATTTATTTTATATAATTTTTTTAGTTCACATCCTCGACATAAATTTCTGCGTGGTGGCAGTTTATCACGATGCTTGTATCTTTCCATGGTTCACTTGTGTAACATATATTTATATATATATGTATATATATTAACTTCAAAAGCATAATACAGATTGATGCATGTATATATGTATTACATTTTCTGAAAGAAAATGCTTTATAGCTAGATCAAGTAACTAAAGCATAAGCTTTAAATGTTAAAAACTGAGGTCGTTGTGTCTCACAGGACTCAAACATAGTGCATCGAAAAATCGAGATTTCTTGCATTGCATTCACATCAACACCATGTCTCTACCTTCTAGCTGTTCCATTCGCTCGATTTCCGACGTAAGTCCTCAACGAAGGAGATTGCGAGAGACGGTAAGGCGCGACCATCATATTTAGAGTTGCATTCTTCTGTTGCAACCTTCTCCTAGCCACAAAACCCCTGATCCAAGGGGTAATATCCTCGCTGATCTTTATCATCAAGAAGAACACGATGCGGTAGATTACGATCATGCTGAATATCACGCTCAGATTGATCCATTTCGACCGTCCCACGTTGATTTGGAACACGTTTTCCAGGATGTATTCCCCAGGAATCTTGGGAAGATCTGGTGATTGGTTATCAAACAACAAGCCCCTCAGATCATTTTGGTATTGTCCCTGAACAGAACAAAAAAAAATGCACCGTCTCGTGTTTTAGTCCTCGATGATGAGCCGATATGGCATCGTTCTGCGAATGTTTTTAATTTGTCATGTTTCATCACCTGTAAAGCCCAGAAATGGAAGCTGATGTATGACATTGGGTAACGCCACACTGGTTTTGGGATGTCATTTGGGAGCCTGAAGAAGCCAGAAACAAGCATGAATATTCCCTGGGACAAAGAAAACCAGTTAGCGATATCTAATTCATCAAAAGGGAGTCGAACTAGCTAGGTTGAACATATGTATGTGTCGGACGACATAGATATGTGTCGGATTTCAAGAAAAATGAAGAGTCGAGGGAGCAGCAAAGACTATGCATACTATAGGAATAATGCAGATTATGGTTGCAGAGAAAGAAACCTGAATCCCTGCTCCTATGATGATCCCCATGAGGAAATTGGGGACGATACTGGCAATCGCCATCATCAAGCTCTCGACCACCGTAACACTTGCGTAAAGGCACAACACGAAGAACAAATAATGCTGAAATCCTGGGTGAAGATGGACCATGAAGTAACAAATAGTCCCAGAGATGAAGGTTATCATAACGAGGAATGGCATAGCAGAGAGTGTGTTCCCTATTACAAATGCAGTTACACCATAGTGCCCATTTAACCTCTCCCTCTGGAAAACCTGCAAAAAGCAAACAGTCAAAATATGTCGGCACCTCCGTTGCCGGTAAGTTGAGTCCTTATCTTACCTTCATGTCCTCTACAAAGGAAGGGAACCCACCGATCGACATGAACGTGACAAATCCGAACACGAAAGAAGCACATGATCCCCTTGCCTGTTCCACAAGATATACAATCTTAAACATGATACTTCCAAATAAAACTTTTGAACTAGTGTTTTTCTGAGAGATAAATAGCAGGAATACCAAGATGGCATTGTAGCTAGTTCCAACATTGAAATAAATGGTTCCAATGCAAATGGTGACTACAAAATATATCAGCAGCCTTAGCCAATAATACCCGAAGTCCCGAGACATGTTCACGAGCGAACGCTTGGTTAACATATAAGACTGCATCAAGAAACTAGCTTGACTGCCCCCGGAATCTAGCACGGTTCCTTTCTGCAACATACGGAAAGTGGTGGTAAATGCAATTCAGTTGATGAGGATTAAGTTTACAAGACAGAAGATCAGCTGGTGAAAGCACTTACAACTTTGGATATCTCGTCGACCTTTTCTTTTGCTGCATAACATTGCTGCGATGTGCGATAGAAACTAATAAGAGATCGGATAGCTTCAGCGGTCGTTATCTTCTCCAGCGGATCATCACTTGCCTCAAACTGATTACAATGGAAGCAACGTGTTTTCATTCATATACAAATGCAGTGTACCAAAGTATGAAGGAAGATTAAAAGGGAAACGAAGTGGATACCCTTAATTTCATTGATCCTTTTAGAGTAGACTTAACTTTATCGAAGTCAGAGTTGATGCATCTGAGAAAATGATCTGATGGATTTCTCAATGCAGGGCATGGAAATCCAGCTTGTGCAAAGAACTGCATTCACAATCCAAGAAACATTATATACATACTATACATGCATACATACATGCATATATAGAATTGAATATGAAAATTAAGTGTAATAAAAGAAAAGGCTGAGAAGGCAGGCACTTACCTCGTATGCTTCAGAAGCCTTGCCGAAATAAATGGTTTTGCCATCATAGAGCAAGTATAACTGATCAAATAGCTCGAACACTTCACTGCTGGGCTGATGAACCGAGGCTATCACGGTTCTACCGTCTCTTGACAGGCCACGTAAAGTCTGGGTTACAAAAAATGCAGAAGCACTGCCCATATGCAATATCAAGTCAGAAACCGTTACTAAAACCAAGAACGGACTCATAATTTTATGTTAAAAGAACGAATTTATAAGATCCTAACATACGAAAAAAAATGATCAATAAGAAAACAAAGGCATGGATGTGATGATAACCTGTCAAGTCCACTGGTTGGTTCATCAAGGAAGAGCAATCTGGGCCTCATCAAGATTTCAAGAGCAATGCTGACTCTCCTCTTTTCTCCTCCGCTGATACCACGCAAATGCCAGTTCCCCACAACAGTATCAGCGCAATCTTGGAGCCCCATCTCGATGATCGTGCTTTCGACGAGCACCCGTTTCTCCGACCAAGGCATGTTATCAGGGAGCCGGAGTCGAGCGGAGTAGGAAATCGTTTCACGAACAGTAAGCGTGCCGATCAAGTTGTCATCTTGAGTCACGTAGGCGGCTGTTCCGAAAGAAAGCTTGGTTTTACGACCATTGAGAAGAATGGTCCCGGAGAGAAAAGCGTTGGCGGCCAGACGACCGGAGAGGGCATCGAGAAGCGTGGACTTCCCGGAGCCGGAAGGTCCCATTAAGGCGGTGAGAGTGCCTGGCTCGGCGTAGCCGGTGAGCCCTTCCAAAACCTTCTGGGTGTTCCCGTTGCTGAGAGTCACCATTACCGTCAGGTCCTTCCATGTAAGCCTAGCGGATACGTCTCCGACGAACTCGGCTTTGGTTTTCTCTCTCCACAATTTTTCACTCAGTGGACTCAAACCTCCGGCCACCGTACAGTTCACCGCCGGTTTATTAGCCTGTATCTGCATCATTACAGAATATGAAGCGGAACTCTTTGCGGAGATTATTGGAAAAAGAAGAATAAAAATGGGATTGGTATGAAGAGATGATTAGTTGGTAGGTTAAGAGTTATCCCATGCAAAATGAGCCGCGTCTTCCCATTCATCAAATTTGAGCAGATGATTTCTTTTTCATATCTTCTTTTTATGCTTTGTGGGTGCGTGACGCAGCTGACAAAAAACCACCACTATCAAACACTATTACTTATACTTGGGTTGAAAATTTTGAATTTTTTATTCAATTTGAAGTTAAAAATTCAATTTTATTTGTTTTGATTAATAATTTATAAATTATATTTAATTTTTAACTTTTAATAATGAGTAAATTGATTTTTAAGTTTAAGTTGAATTTTTACTACAAATATATGTATATCGTATATGAAAATTATGAATATATATATATATATATGCATATAATATAGTTATAGAAAAATTTTAAATTAGAGTCAAATAATATAACAACGTTATAAATATTTACATTTAAATTTAATCAGAATCTCGAACAACTCGACTCGACTTTAAAATAATTTTAAGTAAAATTTGAGTTATAAAATAAGATTCGTCAATTTGATTAACTCAAAAAATTTTAACTTGACTCGATCGAATATTTATTCCACTTAATATTGTATTATTAATTTAAGGATAAACTACACATTTAATATCTAAACTATCAGTTTTGGTCCGTTTTATTATCTAAAATTTTAATTTTTCAAAATCATACCTAACGTTTAATTTACATTTCATTTTAGTACTCCACCGTTAAAAATTTAACACCTAAACTATCAGTTTCACTCTATTTTAGTACCTAAACTTTCAATTTTTTCATAACTTAACATTAAAATTTGAACGGAGAAACTAAAATGAAACGAAAACTAAATTTTTTAACAGTGGAGTACTAAAATGAAATAAAAACTAAACTTTAAGTATTGGTTTTAAAAAAATTAAATATTTAAGTACTGAAATAGATCAGGACTGATAATGTAGACACTCAATGCGTAATTTACCTTTAATTTTTTATGTAATAAAATTTAAACGTGAGCAAGTAAGAATATTGTCCGGATTGGAGGGTACTTTAATTTCATAAAGATGAAATCATTAAATTGAGGTCGGGGGGTCGTTGTTGCATTAAATAGGAGAACCGACTAAGTTATGATGCCTACCCATAATTAGATGGGAGTTCACCCTAACTTGCACACGTTAACGGTGCCAATTACTCTTTCTTTCTGAGTTTTCGGTTCGATTACGGTTGGAAAAATTATGAATTTAATTAATAAATTTAATATTTATATTCAATTTATAGTTTTTTATTATTGTAAATTAAAGGATAATTTTTAATTTTAAATATTAATAGGATAATTACTTTTTTAATAAGTCAATTTAAGAAGGTATTTATTATTTTTTCAATTTTAAATAGTAAAGGATAATTATATACTTTTATATATTTCAAATTAAAATAATATATGTTTAAGTATGAATAGTAAAAGGAATTTACCTTTTGACCATTGTAAATTAAATATATTATTTAATTTAAATATTAGTAGGATAATTACTCTTCGAATATGTCAACTTAAAAAAGGTATTTGTTACCCTTTTTAACTTTGAATATTAAATATAATTATATATTTTTGTATATTTCAAATTAAAATAATACATATTTAAGTTTGAATAGTAAAATGAGTTTTACCTTTTGAATATTTCAAATTAAAAGATATTTTTATATATTTAATATTGAATATTAAAAGATATTTGGTTGGATTAAATATCTCTTGAAAATTTCCTATAAATAGTGAGTAAATTTATTAGGTTTTTCACATCTGAACATATCTCACAACTCGGGTTTTCAAGAATTTCTCTTATCTTGAAATTTTTTTTCTCTTCTTTAGTTTTTCCGGTGATAGTCGAAGGCAATGATTGCTCGTGATCTGTTCAGATGTGCTACTGTAGCTGATCATTAGTTGTTGTATCCTAGAAGACAGATGATCAATGAACTCGAGCACTAAAGGAGTGGCCGAAAATTTTTCTTAAGGAATCTGTGTAGCGACATACCTCAACTGATTCAGATTGATATATCAAAATAAAATGAGTATTTTATTTCCATTTATTTTCATCTTATCCTCTAAGAAGTTTAACATTTTTTGTTTATTTTCTCAGGATTGATTTCATCTCAAATTGTTATTTCGAATAACAATCTCAATATAAGAATAAACTCGTTTATACTCTTTATCACTTTGTACTTTTGATATTTTATAATGATATCGCAGACTATAATTATGTTTATGGTTTTCATGTTAATTTTTAAATTACTTTAAACATTGCATGTCTGGTTTTTTAACAATTTGTTAGATTTGGTGCATAGGTTGTGAGCTCAACAGTCTGTTAATACTGTTGAATGCAAGCTGGGACCCCACTTATGATACTATAAGTGTGACAAAGAGCAGGACATGTTGCACCTTCAATAAATTTGGTGTATGATTCTGAAGAGCGTGAATCATGATAGTTGAAGTTTTTTTATTTATAACGATGAAGTTAATTAGGTAGGTGAAATTTGAATATTATTTTTAATCTAAAATGATTCAGAATTTTTTTTTCTACCTTTCTTTAAATCTGAAAATACTTAGATATCATGGGAAAAATGAGATAGCAAATAAATTTATTTCGAGATTTATCATGTTGTCTTAACGGGTTTGCTAAAATCTTAAAGTGGACAAATTTGTATAACATAAATTGTATTGGAAGTTACTTTGGTTACTGATTTTGTTTCAGAATATTTGATTATGTCTGATAACAAAATCGAAAATAAACAAAAATTAATTTTCTATTTATTGGAATCTTTGATTTCATGTTTGAAATCAATTGGGATTTTAATTCTGTCGTGTAACAAAATTATTTGATTTCTATAGAAATCGTTAGAAAGTAACAACCGTGTTACTGATATGTTTCAGAATTTTAGTTCATGACTAAATTTTGTTTATAGAATAAATCAAAAATTTATAATTTTGGTTTACTATTGGAATTATTATTAATTCTAGTTTTGTGTGTTAAACGAAATCGTGATTGTCGGTGATCGTGAGCCACGATGAGAAACTTGTAAAATTCTATGAATATAATTTCAAGATGTGATAAAGTAAGATGTTATTTTATTTGGTCATGGTGAATTTGACTAAATGTGAGATGATCCTTCTATTATTAGAAAGGTTGGGGTAAATGTTGTTACCGAATTTTGGAAGTATTATGACTTCCTATGTTGGAAATATATCTTTAATGTATTATCAGATACACAATATAAGATGTACAATTGAACCATAGATACGAAACAGAAGATGATGGTACTAATAAATTATTAGTGACCAAGTTCTTAAACTTCATAATAATGGCATAGACGATGGAGAATAAATGCTTTATTACCTCCATTGATGATAGTAAAAGTATTGTTATGTGTACTTGCTAAAAGAGCAAAACGAAGTTATATAAAAAAAAATGTTTTCTATAAACATGAAGTTGAAAACCAACTTAATAAATAAATTAAGATCGTAAGAAGCGTGCACAACATGATATTACTCTTGAAGTGACATCATTATATTCTCCTTAAATAAATGGAGTAGCAAAGAGGAATAATTGAACAATGAACGCAATGCTAAGAGTTGCCACAGAAAATGTGGGTGGAGAAAAGTTGTTCTGTCAACTAATTACCTTTTAAATAAGGTTCCCAGGAAAGAAAAAGAATAAGACACCACATGAGTTATGAAAAGGTGAAAACATGTGTCATAAAAACACTTGAAAATGTAGGGGTGTCTTGAGAAGGTAATTATCATAGTACCAAAATAAACGAAAATAAATCTTAAATGATGGAATGTATTTTCTTTGAATATCATAATCTTAGAAGGATAGACCGATGATGGTTGGAATTATATTAAAAATATCAACAACACAAGTGAATATGTTTCATACTGGAAAGAAAAGTCGTGTTATGGAAATCTTTAAGAAAAATAGTGTTAACCAGATTCATAGTGAAATCTGAGTTTGAAGCTCTAGATAAGTCTGGAGAATAAGCTGAATTGCTTTGGAATTTCTTGGAGGATATTCTTAAATGGCTTAGAGAGAAGTTGTTCTGTCAACTAATTACCTTTTAAATAAGGTTCTAGGAAAGAAAAAGAATAAGACACCACATGAGTTATGAAAAGGTGAAAACATGTGTCATACAAACACTTGAAAATGTAGGGGTGTCTTGAAAAGGTAATTGTCATAGTACCAAAATAAACGAAAATAAATCTTAAATGATGTATTGTATTTTATTTGACTATCATATTCTTAGAAGGATAGACCGATGATAGTTGGAATTATATTTAAAATATCAACAACACAAGTGAATATGTTTCATACTGGAAAGAAAAATCGTGTTATGGAAATCTTTAAGAAAAATAGTTATAACCAGATTCATAGTGAAATTTGAGTTTGAAGCTCTAGATAAGTCTGGAGAATAAGCTGAATTGCTTTGGAATTTCTTTGGAGGATATTCTTAAATGGATTAAACATGTGCCCACAATATGTTTATACTGTGACTAGCAAGTATAATGGTAAGTCGAGACATATGTGTCGTCTACATAATACCATAGACAACTGATCTAAAATTGAGTTATCTATGTTGATTTTGTAAGATCAAATGATAACATTATGGATATGCTAACCTCATGGTTAAATCGAGATCAAGTTGAGAAACATCTAAAGGAATGTGACTAAAGCCCATGAAATTTAAAGGTGTTATGTGAAGGAAAACCTACCTTGTTGACTGGAGATCCCAAGATCTAAGTTCAAAGGGACAACCTAATTGCATAACTCGTGTACGTTCATTGTGGGGGTTTCTTATCCCAAGTCCATTCCTATGATGTAAACAGTGATCAAAGTGGTATAGGCTAAGAAAAAAGCTTTTAATTATCATTGTGTGTTTTGGTGAGCCAAGCAACAAAAGTCACGTATGTGAGAGTGAA